TTAATTAAGTGATCAAAAGGAACTAATTAAATATGGACTCTTAGATATATATGTGTGATGAGCCAACTTCATTTAGGTTGGGTTAAGTCTTCATGGATAGTCCATGGAGTGTTTAACCCATGGATCATATGAAATGAAGGGTCATGGGTTTAACCCTAATCTCCACACTATATAAAGATGTCCTTGGTTGGTGAAATGGTACTAGTGTGTACATAAAAGGGCAAGGCCGATTTCACTAGAGAGAACCAAAGTATCCTTATTCTCAAGGTTATTACAAGTGTTCATGGTATTGTGTGAACCATTTGGGGTGTCACACTTGGGGCACTAGGCACTCAAGCTTCATGAAGACAAGTTACATAGAAAAGGTATGTATTCTATCTATTTTATTACCCAAGTATCAAATATTGTATGCTAGATAGGGTAATACCTTGGAAAGTTCATATTTGCATGTATAATAGAGAAAACATAGATCCAAGGTATTTAGGGTTGCATGTACACCATAGGAGTGTTAGAATGCTCAAAACCCAACAGTCGTACAATCAATGCATAACCAACTCATAGGCAACAAATCATATCTCTAGGTTTGAAGACTTATATGATGTTACCATCTCACGATCACTTGAGATAAATTCCATGAGGAGATGATTTCATATCTCTCTTGTCGGGCATATTTAGTTACTTTATAATTATCATTATACTTTTAATGAGAATTTATAAGTCCTTGTCCTACCCATTCGGCTAACGACCCTCCACCGATCAAATAAGTGGTGGGTGAGACTGGACACCCATTAAGTTGTCATTTTATAGGCAACAACCTTATACCCCCCTTATAGACCGGCTTCGTGAATGGGGCGTACTAGCGGTAAGACGACTTGATCTTATATATATATATATATATATATATATATATATATATATATATATATATATTATTAACTTATAATATTATAAAGTATAAGAGTTGAATTTTAACTTTTAAAATTCTAAAGGTTGGAACTAAAGTTTTAATCATGACTTTACTTGTTCCAAAACATGAGGGAAAGTTTTGTAAACTTTCAAAACTTTTCATTCCTTATAACTTATGAATTAATTGAGTATTAAAAACGAAGACTCTTCATTTTATAACCCTTGTGTTCTTTTAATGATTTTTTTATTAAAGTGTGACCTTTGGTTAGGCCTGTCAAATCGGGCTGTCGTGTCGTGTTTTTGTCTGACACGACACGACAAAATTTTTTGTAACACGAACACGACATGACACGACGTCGTGTTTCTTTTCACTAACACGAAAACGAACCAATTGAAAAACGACAACACGACACGACACGACAAAGATAATATTACATAGCTATTATCTTATTTAATTCATATTTATTCATATATAACACGATAAAAACGACAAACACGAAAAGCACGACAAACACATGCTCAATCGTGTCAATGTCGTGTGGATTTGTGAACACGAACACGACACGACACGACACGACATCGTGTTTTTTAAACTTGACACGAACACGACACGAAAACGAATTCGAATTTAGATTCCGTCCCAATTTCGTTTCGTGTCGTGTATTTTTGTCGTGTCGTGTCATAAATTGAAACCCCTACCTTTGGTTTTCCATAACTTGAGGACAAGTTATGGACTCCATTAAAACACATAATGATCATGAATTAAACTACCAAGTAGGTTACAAACAATTCCTATGATCATCTAATCTTCATAAGTTCAAGAACATGAATATGAACATTTCAAGAATCATAAATTACTCATAAAACTTTTAATTTTTTATAATTGCCATTGTAAATGGATTAGTATAAACATTACACCATCTAAAACAAGTTTTAAAACACCAAACTAGTTTAGGGTAATGTTTCTAGTCCATTTCCAGCAACAAAAGTCGAAAATCTGCTGTTAGGGCCTCCTACTCATCGAGTGCATGAACCTACTCGATGAGTAGGATGAATTTTCACTTGGACTCGTCGAGTACCCCCATGGACTCGGCGATTCCACTGCTCAGACAGCAAGCATTTTCGATTTTTAACACATCTTTGCACAAATAACAAACAAACAAGCCTAGGCTCTGATACCACTGATGGGTTTTGAGCATTCTAACACTTCCTAAGTGTACACGCAACCCTAATAAACCTTGGATCTATGTTTGTATAAGATTCATGCAAAATTGATTTCCAAGGTTCATGAGCCTATCTAGCATACATGGGGAACATGTTAACTTAAATGAAAGATAGAATAACATACCTTGTTGTTGATTTTGATTCCTTGAAACCTTGTGAGCCTAGCACCCCAAGTGTGATGCCTTAGATGCTTCACACAACACCAAATGCTATGGAGTAAACTTGGAGAGAAAGTATAACACTCAAAATCGGCTCTAGCCCTCTTGTTCTACTTAGTGCCCGATTTTGGGAGATATCACATGGTTTATATAGTGTGTTGCATTAGGTAAACCCAAATGTAACATGACTCTTCATTTTCATGACCCATGGATTAATTCAATGGAGTATCCTATGGGTGGAACCCAACTTGATAATCCATGGAGTCTCTCAGCTCACTATATAAGTTATGGATGATTTATATAATCAATCCATATATTTAATTAGTTATCTTTTGATCACTTAATTAATTATAAATTAATTCTTGATCAAACTAATTAAATAATATTATTAATATATTAGAACTTATAATATATTAATAAACCATAAGTGTTATTTCTCTCATTTAGTTTATCCAATGCATGGTGCCATGAAACCCAAATTGACCATGCCGGATCGGGTCAAGTACATACTAGAAATAGTTATGGACTTAGACACCTTATCCAACAGTTTCTCTCACGGATGGCTCATAACACTGGACTCGGGGTTTGGTCAATGGAGGCTAGAAACCCTAAAGTTTAAGATGTATAATTAGGGTGTAAAATCCCGGACTTAGGGTTTCCCAAACCCAGTCCAACTCGTCGAGTTGGTCCCCTCCAACTTGTCAAGTTTGTCTTCCAAAAACATGCGTGACAACATTCCTACTCGTCGAGTTCTCACCTTGAAATCGACGAGTTACCTTATTGTTTAGATTTTCTTTCCTCATTTGGCCTTTTGGTTTCTGGGTGCTACAATCGTAGATGAGTTAATCGTGTGTATAGTGTGCTAGTTACATGTGTTATTTATAGTGTAATGCTAATAACAAGAAGTCCAATAATTTGTGGATCCTCTGAGAATCAACATATGAACGTTGTTTGACTTGGTATTCCAAGTCTTTTGACCGATTAAGACGATTATCTGTCGAGAATAAGTCTTTCATTGACTAATTATGCACATGTGTCAATAGGAAAAGAGATTATAACTGTTGTAGGTGTTAGCAAATAATGATAATAATAATAGTTGGGATCTTAAAATGGTTTAGGATCCTGAGTGCTCTTTGAGATCCGGGATCCTAAAAGGATTGAGGATCTCGCCCCTAACAGGGACCAAACATGTAATTTACGTAGACCACATGGACTACTTTAGTAATTTGCTCTCTCTCTCTCTCTCTCTCTCTATATATATATATATATATATATATATATATATATATATATATATATATATATATATATATGTATGTGTGTGTGTGTGTTTATAAGAATGTATTAGTTTTTATAATTATTTTGCAATAAAACTCTGAATAAGTGAATTAATTAGTTTATTAAATTGTGAACATAATATTTATGTTGTTAATCAATGATTTTATATAGAGATCTAATATGGAATGAATGATGGTTATTACGGTGGCAAAGGTGGTTGGTGGTGGTGTGTGGTAGTAGTTAGTATTGATAGAGTATGGGTTTGACTTTTTTGAATGCGTAAATTGGTATCTAATTGATAGTATTCTGTTGTGATATTTATTTATTAAACTAAAAATAAATTGTATTAAATTGTATATTTTATGTAAATTTTTTGTTAAAATATCAATAAATGTATGTATGAAAATATTAAACCGTCTATTATTGAATTAATATGTTTATTAAGTATTTTAAACTATGAATACGTCATATAAACGATATATTTTTTTTAGAGAAATCCACTATTTAAAAAGATAATTGAATTTGTCAATGCATAATTTTATTTTATTTTTATTAATGAATTTCATATATTTGACGGTTAAAATGAAATGGTATGTATTAAAGTATTGCTAAAGTAATAAGAGCTACAAAGTTCTATTAAACTATGAATACGATAAAAAAAAACGCTACAAAATTTAAATTTAGTCCAACAGTTAGGGGTGACAAATCGGGCCATCGTGTTGTGTTTTTATCTGAAACGACATGATAATGTTTTTTGTAACACGAACACGACACAACACGATGTCGTGTTTTTTTCAACTAACACGATAACGAACCGATTAAAAAAACAACAAACACAACACGACACGAAAAAAATGACTGAATAAAACAATTAATTTTTTTTTAATTAATACATAAGCATAGATAACACGACAAACACAACAAACATGACTGAAAAATGCTAAATCATGTCAATTTAGTGTCGAATTTTGAACACGAACACGACACGACACGACATTGTATTTTTTATATTTGACACGAATACGACACAAGCACGAATTCGAATTTCAGTTTCGTCCCAATTTCGTTTCATTTCGTTATTTTTGTCGTGTCATGTCATCAATTGTCACCTCCTACCCTACCAACAATAGTCTGAATTAGTCCGATGATCCTTTGGTGGTCTAGCCATTCGTTACAACTAGTTGGAAAGTATGTTGCGGAGGAACCATGAATTTTGATATAAGGGTACAAACATTATCAATATATATTATATGTAATTATCCAATATCGGACATTAAAAAAACATGTTATAATTCTTTTGTTGGGGTAAATAATATGAAAAATGTTTATAAATAATATTATATATATATATATAAAATAATTTTTTAAGATACTATAATACAAACTTTATCAATATATATTATACCAATCGTACGCCACCGAAAATATGAAATGGAAAATGTGTTTTATATAATATTAATATTTTTGTACCGGTGTGAGAGAGAGACTCTGTGTGGCGAATGAGAGTATAAGAATTATAGAATGGGAAGAGTGGTATATATAAAGAGACTGGTGTGGTGTATAATATCCCTTCCTTCACCTATTCGCCATTATCCATCATCTCCTTTGACCACCAGCCATGGGCAACTGCCAAGCCGTCGATAATGCAAGTCTCGTATTACAAACCCGAAACGGTAGAGCTGAGAGGTTCTACTCACCCATCTCTGCCGCCGAGATCATGAAGCTCCACCCTGGTCACTGTGTCGCCCTCCTCCTCACCACCACCTTCTACTCCTCCCCTCCTTCATCTTCCTCCGACGTCGACCACCACCACCATCGACATCCCAACAACAACCCTGCAAACACCAATCAACCTCTTCGTGTTACTCGCATCAAGCTTCTCCGTCCCACCGACAATCTAGTCCTTGGCCATGCTTACAGACTCATCACGAACCAAGGTTGCTTTATGTTTATGTTTATGTTTAATTTCTTCTTTTTCGTTCGATTTGAGGAAGTTATATGTTTATCACAAGCTAATTCATTACTTAATACCCTTGTTTGATTCTGCAGAAGTGATGAAAGGATTAAAGGCAAAGAAAAATGGAAAATTGGATAACATTAAGGATTTTTTGCCGCCGGAGTCTGCCGGAAAAACCTCAGCAAATTCAGATTCCGAAGCAGCATCCACAAGATCTAATCAATCGGGGAAATCCCACCAACAGGTCTAAAATAGTTTCTAGTTACTCTCTTTATGGGTAACCTAATTTTATGAAAAAGTAGCTCATAGATTCAACTGGGTTAATTATGTAGATGAGGAAACCAGATAAACATCGGCAGAGGACGGCGGGTCCGGCGATCTCTGCATCCACCGGAATCAAACCAAGAGGGTGGCATCCATCATTAAACAGCATCTCAGAGGCAACAAGCTAGCTTAAGTAGCTATGTTCATATAAATTTTAATTTCTTTTCCGTAGAGTTCTTGTGGGAAGATGGAGATTGCATTTGGAGGCATGATGAATGATGCAATTTCTTGAAAAATGAGATTTTGTTTTAAATTGTTATAATGATTTTGTTGTGTTTCAAGAAATGCTTTCCTTCATTCTTTGTTTCCGTTGAACATGCAATCCTCTCCGCCTTTGTAATTATTACTCCTCTTGTCTACTTTTACCAATGATCATCCATGGTCAATCTTGCCAAATGCTTTTCACTGATTTTTGTTATGAAAAGGGGTAAAAGAATATAAAAAGTATATGATCAATCATTAATATTGATATTTTATAAATAAAATAGAACAATTTTATATCGTAGAAAAAACTCCAATAAAATCTTAATATTTTTTGTTAGTTTACGGTTTAATATTAAATTCTTAATTTTTATTTTTTAAACAAGAAATTTTTTATTATTTTATATTTAGCTCAAATTAACGAAACAGTTCATATTTTTCTCAACCAAAAATATCAGTTTATTATATAAAATTAGATAATCTAATCTTTTATATTCAAAAATAAATATCAAGATTAAACCGTAATTTAACCGAAAATATTATGACTTTATTGAAGATTTATCTACAATGCAATGGATAAGTCTACTATTATTCGTTGCAACCACTAGCTTAGTATAGTAACTTTAAATCAATTTAAAGCACGAAAGATTTTGAATTAAATAAAAGCCATGTTAAAATTGATTGAGAGTGAGATAATTCTAATTAATTTTTGAGTAGTTTAAAGCAATGTTGGAAATTATTGAGAATGTCTAATAAATTTGATAAACCAAATAGTTAATGAATATATAATATGGTGTTAAAAGTATATATGTATATTAGTTTATAGTGATGAGGATATTTGAAAGAATATTATTGGGAGTTAAAAGGAAGAATAGCGCATGAATGATGAGGTGGAGTTAATCATGGCATTCCAACGTTGTAATCATAAATATTCTTTCCTACAACTTCATGTCCCACAAATTAATGTCCATTCTCTTTTGGGCGACGATAGATTTTGGTATTATAAGCGGAAATGTAACACACACATTAACATATTATTAGTTAATAATCACCGTTAAAAAAAAGTTAATAATAAGAAAATTACTATGTTCATTTCAAGTTTATTAACAAAATCTATATTTTTAATATATACAAAAAAACCTTTATATATATATATATATATATATATATATATATATATATATATATATATATATATATATATATATATATATATATATATATATATATATATAGAGTAAATTACACGAATGGTCCCTATGGTTTGGGTTAATTTGCACGTCTGATCCCTAACTTACTTTTTTAACTCGGAAGGTCCTTACTGTTTGTTTTTGTTACGTATTTGATCCCTTCTATTTGTTTTTGTTACGCGTTTGGTCCCTATCTTACCTAAAAAGACTATTATTTGATTAAGGAAAGATGATGGGATAGGTAGGGTAAGGTGAGTGGAGTGGGGTTAGGAGTGTGTTTATTTAAATAAATTAAAAAATCAAGGGTAAAATAGACTTTTTAGGTAAGATAGAGACCAAGCGTGTAACAAAAACAAACAGTAGGGACCTTCCGAGTTAAAAAAATAAGTTAGGGACCAAACGTGCAAATTACCCTAAACCATAGGGACCATTCGTGTAATTTACTCATATATATATATATATATATATATATATATATATATATATATATATATATATATATATATATATATATATATATATATATATATATATATATATATATATAAAGAACCATAATTATTGGTTCTTCAAGGAAACAATTTTTTTTTTTCAATTTCTAGAGTTTATTATTTATCGAAAAAAAATATCTAAATTCATATATTAACATTATGAATGTGAAAAATATTTTTCGGATTCACCGCGTGAATCCGGATTCACATTGTGAATTTTACGTAAAAAAAATCGAATTTGATATCATTGGAAAAAGAATAAAAAGTTATGAATTTCTGTATTTTTAGTTTTTTTTTTTTTTTTGATAAAAAATAAGGTCTAAAAGTTGAAAAAAAAAATTGGTTCCTTGGTTCCTTGGTTAATTATGGTTCTCTATTGAACCTCACCATATATATATATATATATATATATATATATATATATATATATATACTATCTTATAAAAGAAATCTCACTATTTCTAAAAATAGATTGAATATAATAATATTATTTTTCTTAAGACGTTCAAATCATTAAGCTAATAGTACAAGTAGTCATCAATAAAATAATATTAAATTTTAACCTGTCTTTTGAATCTTTATATTTCTCAACAAATTTTATCTCCTTCCTTAAATTTCGGATAATTCAAAATTTGAAACCATCAGGAAATACATGTTGATTCAAATATCCCTCCTGCAGATGACTCTTTCTTAACAAGTTTTTATTTTAATCCTTACTTGTAAATGATTTCATCATTTTTAACTTTTTGTATTTTTATCTTATAAATATATTGGGTGAAGGCTTTATTATATCATGTTTGTTGCTAAAAAGGTTTTTACTATGTTTCTTTAATGTGTTGCCTTTGCAGGTTCAAAGAACTCAACCAAGAGGGTCAGTTAGAACATTGTATTATCATTAGTTTGTATATTTTGGCATCTTACTTTTGCAATAAAGAATGGTTAAACACAAGATTTGACATGACTAAGGTAGTTTGTATATTTTTCATCTTGTTTAGTCTAAAAATGAAACATTTTTCATCATTGGTCCTTATCATATCAAGTTTCATCACATTAACTTCCTGATTACGATGATTATTGTCCTTATTATAAGGATCTATATAGATGTTGTTCAATATTTTAAGGCTTCGAGAACCTAAATCAATATGAATCCTTGAATTACATACCATCGTTGAAAATGTTTTAATTTGTGACCAAACTTGGTAAGTTGAAACCTGAATATTTTGGCCTTCTCAAAGGCCTATTTATCAACTTTTGAATCACAACACCTGATATTTTAAAGGTTTATTTTTATAAACTAGTATTTATATATTTTAGCATTTTACTTAGTAGGACATTAAATTAATAAAGGAATTAAGGAAAATGGAAAAAAAAAAAAAAAAAAAAAAAAAAAAAAAGAGGACGATAAACAGTACGAGTGGTTTGGGTATGTATAAATGGAAGTAATAACCATTTAGGGGGTGTTTGGCAAAAAAAGCTTATTGCTTATTAGTTTATTAGCTTATAAGTTAATAAGTAAGTGTAGGGTAACTTATGAAAAACTGACGTATTAGAGGTTCCCCACCGGAATAAGTTATTTTAATCCAAACACTTTTTTAACTTATAGTGATGTGGAACCTAATAAGTTGTTTTAAAAAAAAAGCTTAGTCAAACACGCCATTAATATGTTATGGTAATGCTCTTGAAAAATAGATGTCATTTAATATTCATTTCGCGAAGTGAACGCAAAATGATTTTAACTCTAAAGAGATCAAGTTATTCGCCGCCCGCCGCTTTGCGCGGGTAGACGGCTAGTATATATATAAGGTGAGGTTTAATAGAGAACCATAATTAACCAAAGAACCGATTTTTTTTTCAACTTTTAGACCTTATTTTTTATATATATAAAAAAAAAAAAAAACAGAAATTCATAACTTTTTATTCTTTTTCCAATGATATCAAATTCGATTTTTTTTCCAATGATAACTTTATATATATATATATATATATATATATATATATATATATATATATAATATGATTACTTGAATTCTCTCTTTGTTTTTGTTTATACGGAAAGAACTTATATATTAAATTCAGAAAAACAAAAGAAAAATTAATCAATTTTATTAATTAATATTCCAAAAGAGACAAAGAAAAGAAATGTTCGAAAATGCCACCAAGTTCGCAGGTTTGTGAAATGGGCCAGAATCGGCAAAATGGTTTTGGGCCTTTGAAACGGGTCGATCGTGTTCTTAAAAAAATTGCTTTTCTACATTTTTCTTTTATTTTAATTTCGTAGTTGAAAAGGATGATAACTCATCCTAACCAGATAATGTCTGAGCTATTCGGTTTGATAAACTAATTTATTATAAATTGTTTGGTTCGAGTTCGATTAATTTTATGTTTACTCAGGTTATTAGACTAATGTTTATAAACTTTGTGGTCCCACTTTTACTCATTTGACTTAAGTTGCGCTCTTTATTTGCTAAATTTTCCAAGTATTAAGAAAAAAATGTTTTATTAGCATAATCTATTATTAAAGACAATATATTCACAGTCTATTTTAAATTATGATGAACCTTTTTGGTGTTCTAAAATATAAACCACTTTGATGTGTAATTCTCATATACACTTTGGTGGAGTACAAAGATTACGTTTGTATATTGTTCAAACTTATATTTGTACATTTATTTTTATGTTTATTTAGAGTGTGTGTGCGAATAATATGATAAAAGAATGATAAAATATAATAATTTTGTTTATCTTATATCATTCTTTTTAAAATCAAGATTGTGCCATTCGAGCATAGATCTGATTCTGATAGATATGTAAGCTTGCGAGTCAAACTTTCCCACCCATCCTGCATGTCATCGTCATACTTCCCTTTTTTTTTTTTTTTTTCTCCTTTTTCGTTTTTCATTCCAAACTTTGAGTTATTAATGACAAAATCCCTCTCTTTCTTCTAAATGAAATTTTTTTTTATGTTTTAACAACACTTTTTTTTTCATGATTTGATTTCACCAAAATAATTGGCAATCATTTTTTTTTCGCAAGAGTAAACGACGTCATATTGAAATGTGGTGGTCCTAGTGAGTGGTGAACTCATTTGATGTTTTTATAGATAGGTGACATTTTGTAAACATCTTGACAATTTCAGTAACGTCTGATTTTATCCATAAAAATAATTATATTTTTTGCATACAAGATAAGCGAACTGAATGAACATGATATAGAATAAGACAATTTCTTGTTTACGATATATAATTTAAAGTTCAATATTTTAACGGTATATGTCACCCACTACTTGCTCTTCATCTATTACTTCACATAGTAAAGAAAAGAAGATGGCGACCACACTTGAACTCGAGAGCTATCTTCACAATTTTAGTTCTTAGCATTTTATGTCCACCATCTCATTTGCTCTTCTCCATCTAATACTTTAAGGTTTATATTTTCATTTATTATTTTTGTCACATGAGGATTTGCGTCCGAAATACATATAGTATATTTGTAAAAGAGGGGGCTTGAATACAAGTATAGACTTTTCTAAAAGAAAAAAAAAAATCAAAGCATAAACACAAACAAAATAAGAAATAACAATATAATTTGAGCTTTTTGGTTTATATAAATTAAAAACTAACTAATAGGTGATTCGGCCCAAAACCATTTTTTTTTTAAAACAAAAATAGG